ACCCCGCCAGTGAGCTTGACCCTCCCCACACCACGGGGGAAAGGGGGGCTGCACAGAAGACTCAAAAGACGAAGTCCAGGCACATTTTCTGTGTGTGTGTGCTCTGTCTGCGGCAAAGGAGAGCTTCCCTTCCCATACCACAGGGTGCCTTTGAGGTTTGGGAAACCCCAGACAGAGGAGGGAGCCCTCCTCACGCAGCTGGAAACTCCGGGGTGTGTGTGTGTGTGTTGTTCTGCAGCCGGCCTGCACAGCCGACTAGTCAGTGAACACCAAGAGTCACTGGGAAGGGCCAGCCTCTTTTCCCTTTGCTTTCTCTCCCGGGAAGTGTGAGTTCCTCTGCTCAGCCATCCTGCCCTGTCGTCCCACCCAGCCTCACCTCGCTGTGGATCCTTCTTGATTCACAGTTTATCCCTCCCGCTCCTGGCCCTCAGTGTCTTCCCAAAGCTTATCGTATTTCATGAAAGCAATCTGCTGCAGGCCCTTCCTTGACTGTACAAAAACAAGGAGAGCCCTGCTGGGTCAGACCAGTGTTGGGTCCATCTAGCCCAGCACCCCGTCCCTCACAGCCGCACCCCGTTCCTCCGGAGGGCCAACAAATAACCGGTCGTAAAGGCCAAGGCCTTCCCCTGAGGTTGCCTCACAGAATCATAGAACGTCAGGGCTGGAACTGGGACCTCGGTAGGCCATCTAGTCCAGCCCCCCTCTGCACTCTGCAGGAGCAGAGCCGAAAGACAGCCCTACGACATACCCAGAAGAGGTTCGTCCAGCGAAGGAGCCTCCACCCCCTCCCGAGGCAGACTGTTCCACTGCTCAGCCACTCTGACACTCAGGAAGTTTCTCCTGATACTTAGCCGGTATCGACTCCCTTGTCAGTTCCACCCATTAGATCTAGTCTTGCAATCCGGAGCAAGAGAGAAGAGATCTGCTCCATCTTCTACATGACAGCCCTTCAGATACTTGAAGACTGCAATCATGTCTCCTCTAAGCCTTCTCTTTCCCAGGCTAAACAGACCCAACTCTTTCAGCCTTTCCTCATAAAAAGACCTGGATTCCAACCCTCTCACCATCCTGGTTGCCCTCTTCTGGACACGCTCGAGCTTGTCAACATCCTTCCTCAAATGTGGTGCCCAAAACTGGACACAGGACTACAGGTGAGGCCTGACCATAGCAGAACAGAGCGGAACGACCACCTCCCGTGATCTGGACACAATGCTTCTTCTGTGAATGCATCCTAAGTTTGCATTCGCTTTCTTCACAGCCACATCGCACTGCAGGCTCATGTTTAGCTTGTGATCAACCAGAACACCCAGATCCCTTTCACGGGTGCTGCTGTCAAGCCAAGTCCCTCCCATTCTATATCTGTGCCTTTGGTTTTTTGTACCTAAGTGTAGGACTTTGCACTTCTCTCTATTGAAATTCATTTTATTTGTCTCAGCCCACTGGCACTGGGATTCAGCGGTTGACTGCCTCTGGATATGGAGGTTCCCTTTAGTCACCATGGCCGGTAGCCTTTGACGTGCCCATCCTCCATGCATCTGTCCAATCTTTCTAAAGCTGTCTGTGCCTGTGGCCATCACTACATTCTCTGGCAGCACATTCCACCGTTTAATTAGAAGTATTTCCTCTTGTCCATCCTGAACCTCCTGCCCATCAGCTTCACAGGATGCCCTTTAGTCTGAGTATTTGGGTAGAGGGAGAAAAAAGTTCTCTCTGTCTACCCTTTAAGAACATAAGAGACGCCAATGTTCGATCAGGCCAAAGGCCCATCCAGTCCAACACTGTGTCACACAGTGGCCAGAAATACCAGTGCCATCAGGAGGTCCAACAGTGGGGCCAGGACATTAGAAGCCCTCCCACTGTTG